GAAATGTGCAACTTGTTTTGTGGCTCAAAATATGGCCAATTTTGGTAAACACTGGGAGCAGTATTCCATATATGTTTACTATGTCAAGTTTGTTGACCACGTTCTTCCAATGCTCCATATTCATACAAATATTTGCATGCTTGCTCTGTTATTGAAAGAAACCTTAAAATCTTCCATTATAATTGCAGATTTGTCCATTTCTCCTCTTAGTTCTATCAGTTTTTACTTTGTGTATTTTGATACCATATGTACATGTATGGAGATTAGAAATGTTTCACCTTCCCAGACTATTTTATCTTTCCCAGAACTCTTGATCTTCATTAACACTTCTGGCTGGAGTGTCTACTGTATTTGATAATATATAGACTTAACAGTGCTGTTCTGAGGGCTACTATTTGCATACTGTACCTTTTTTCATTATTGTACTTTTAACCTTTCTGTACCTTCATTTTTAAGCCTATCTTCACTGGGTATAGAATTCCAGGTGAATACTATTCAGCCCTTTAAAAAGAGTGCATTACTGATACACACAACAACATGGATGAATCTCAAAAAAATTATGCTGGACAGAAGAATGTAGGCACAAAGAGTATATACTATATGGTTCCATTTATATGAAATTGTATAGTGACAAAAAGTAGATCAGTGGTTTCCTTAGGCCAGGAGTGGGGTGAGGACTGCCTGCAAAGGAGAATGAAGGAATCTTTCTGGATATGTTCTACATCATGACTGAGGTCTTGGTTATATGGGTGAACTAATTCTTCAAAAGTCACTGAACTATACACTTAAAATGCATGCATTTATTGCATGGAAATCAATACTTCAATAAAGATGATTTAAAATTTTTAAAAAACCTACAGGGGTTGGCATAATAAAAACTATTAACACAGCTAATAAAAACAAAAACAACTATTTATGCCTTAAAAAATACTGTGACGGGTGTAGAACATACAAAACTTGTCTAACAGAAAAATATACCTCCAAAATCAATAATTTCCCACAAGAAATGAGTTGTTCTTAAAGGAACTCTGTTCAAGTATATTTAAGACCCAGTTAAAAAACAACTACTACATTAATTTGATATACATGTTCAGAAAATTTGGAAATAACCATATATACAAATTACAGCTAGGATTTAAAACTTTCTGAATCACAATAAATTACAGCTATAATCACTACCAAGTTGGAATACACTATTAATAAAATCCTCCCAAATCAGTATTTCTTTTGTTTCCATAACTTCCATAGCTAAAGCAAATTTATTTTTCTCAATTTATTTGTTTAATAAAATTTGCTCGATGTTAAATACTCTGAGAGCCATAAACATAAAATTTACCCTCTGCTGGAAAAAAAAATCCTCTTGTTAAGCACAAAATATCATCAATGGGAAAATACACCAAAAAAACAGTACAACCTCTTCCATGGAATTTATACTTATTATCTTTTCCTACTCATCAGCACGAATTTTTTTCCTTTTAGCCCAGGTGTAACTGTGAATTAGGATCTGATAGGAAATTTCACATGCATTTAAGACTCTGAAAAAATGTGGGCTCCCTTCCCTTTATGAATCAATTAATTTCCTCAATTTTATACCCTGTAAAACAAAAGAATACATGTCCTGATATTCCCTGTAAGGCTGAAGCAGCATTTTCTGGCATAAAGCAATGAAGCATTACATGAGCGGCCAGCAATGCTTCAGCAGCACCTTTAGTACTTTCCCAACATGCAGGCCTGAAGGAGCACTCCTTTGCAGTCACCATTCCTTTCACCATTCCTTCAAAAACAGAGTACTGTCATTGTTCTCATACTCCTACCTCTTAAGATCCAAGGACTAAACATTCACACCTCTTTTTAGTTTGCTAATTAATAGCTTAATAATCTACTTATGATGAAGATTCTTAAATTTCATTCATGCCAGCAGGTATCACCATTTGATACAAAATTCTAGTCTGATGAGCCCAATCATAACTGATGTTCTGAGGTCTAAAAATAAAACGTCTCTGGGTTCTACATGGTGCAAAACCAATTCATTTCAAAGATGATATAACCATAATTCTAGGGAAAAAGCAATGATGAAAAGGAGAACGCGAGAACACGTACCTTGTCCCCGGTGGCAGTGGAAGTTGTTCAAGTGAATTACCTCTTCATTGTTGTTTCCCTCTGCCATTTTCAAATGCAAACATATACATATGCGCTCGCTAATATCTAAACATGGCAAGTATCTGTTCCAAAGGGTCTGAAAAAGAAGAAAAAAGACGATGTAAGAATGAGGGAGTATCAAAACTCTTCCCACACATCTGGTCAAGGTATCATTCTAAGTTCATAGTGAAAATACCACTAAAAAGAAAAATAAAAGAATGAATAACTAAAAAGTCAACAGAAGGAAAAAATGGAATAAAAAACCCAGTTACTGCAAAAGAACATACAAAAGATGAATAAAGAATCAAAGAATAGATGGGACATATATAAAAAACGTAAAATTAAAAACTCAAGTACAGCAACCTATGGAATAGGAGAAAGTATCTGCAAATCATAGTCCCTCATAAGGCATTAAAATCCAAAGTATATAAAGGTCCAAATGCATATTTCAGAGAAGGAAAAAAAGAACAGAATAATCCCTGATTTAAGCTTTGATCTCAAGAAGTTAGAAAAACAGCAGTAAACTAAATGCAGAAAAAATAGCCAAAAATTTTATAAGAGCAGAAATCAACAAAAGTTTATAAACATAAAGCTGAGAAAAATCAAAGCAAAAACTTCCTCTAAGAAGATTAATAAGATTGATAAACCCCTATCAAGAATGATTAAGGAAAAAAGGAAGAAAACACAAATTACCACTATCAGGAATTTAAAGACACCATTACAGAGTCCACCATATAAAGAATGTTATGAATAACTTTATATCACTTCACCTGAAATTTTAAATGAAACAGATAAAACTCCTTGAAACACAATTTACCATAATTGAACAAAAAATTAAATTTGAATAGATCTCTAGCAAATAAAGAAATGGAATAAGTAATTAATAACCTTCCCACAAGGAATACAGCAAGCCCAGAAAGTTCCCCTAGTAAAGTCTCCTAAACATTTGAAGAAGAAATGGAACTAGTATTATTACAAAAACTCAGAAAATAGAAAAAGAACAAACATTTCCAAAAACATTTTATGAGGCTAGCATAATTTTGATACTATAAACTGATAAGAACGTTACTAGAAAGACTAGCATCTCTCATGAACACAAATGCAAAAATCCTAACCAAAGCAATGGAACTTACATTACTAGAACAAAAGAAAAACTACATAATCACTGCAGATGGGAAAAAAAAGTGTTAAAATTTAACATCTATTCATGATTAAAATCTTTCAGCAAATTGGTACTGGAGGGGAACTTCCTTTGTCTAATTAAATGTATTTCAAAAACACTCGAGTGAACCTCACTCAAAGGTGAAACACTGAAAAGAAGAGTTGAGGAGACTTCTCTGAAATTGAGGAGAGTTTTCATCATTTTTTGTTAACACTGTATTGGAGGTTGTAGCAAGTAGAATCAGGCAATAAAGAAATCAAATATCATGCTGAAAGGAAGAAATAAAAGTGGCATTATTTGCAGATGGTAAGATTGCAGTACTGATATAAAGACAGAAAAACAGAATAGAGGGCTCAGAAAAACAGCCACATACATTTGGTCACCCACGTAAAAACAAAGATGCTACTGAAATGCAGTGGGAAGAATGGCCTTTTCAATAAAGCTGGGCCAAAATAGGAAGAAAACATATATGGGAAGAAAATGAGTCTTGATGCCACATGTAAACATCAATTCCAGATGGACTATCAATGAAAGATAAAACAATAAAAATACTAGATTACAGGAGGATAAAATTATGTCTATTTGATGGTGTAACTGGACAGAGACACCATTGGGATGAGTAAGTGAATAAACACACAGCAAAGTCTCTGCCCTTGACCGATGGCTTGGTAAAGAAGCTGTGGTGAATATACACAACAGAACACTATTCAGCCATGAAGAAGAATAAAATAACGCCATATGCAGCAACATGGGTGGAACTGGAGATCGTCATTCTAAGCGAAGTAAGTCAGAAAGAGAAAGACAAATACCATATGATATTGTTTATATGTGGAATCTAACAAACGGACACAGATGAACTTATCTATAAAACAGAAACAGACTCACAGACATGAAGAACAAACTTATGGTTACCAGGGGGTAAACGGGGTGGGAAGGGATAAAGTGGGAATTCGAAATTTGCACCTCCTGGGGAGTGATGGAAATGTTAGCTACTTGACTGCAGTGGTGGTTTCATTGGTGTATATGTCTATCAAAATTCATCAAATTGTACATCTGAATATGTGTAGTTTACTGTACAGAAATCATACCATAATAAAAGTGTTAAAAAAATTAAATAAAAACCTAATTACCACCCCCAAAACAAAACAAAAAACAATGGATCATTAAAAGTGGATTATTCCAGAAGTCAGAAATGGCACAGGCTGGGAGAAGTTGGCATACCCATGTCATACGAGCCCCCACAAAGTCTCTTTCTAGCATATTTACCCATGTCACACTAGCCCCCACAAAGCCTCTTTCTAGCATATTTACCCATGTCACACTAGCCCCCACAAAGCCTCTTTCTAGCATATTTTTAAGTGTCTATAAATGATTATTGCTTTTCACTCAAATACTAGTTTTTCATCACAATCATTACTTAGATAGCCATTCTTTGTACTCCTGTACTAAGTATAAAGTCATAACTGCAATAAAGAGATTATTCCAGAGGGGGAGGGTATAACTTAAGTGGTAGAGCGCATGCTTAGCATGCATGAGGGTCCTGGGTTCAAGCCCCAGTACCTCCTCCAAAAATAAATAAACCTAATTACCACACACCCCTCAAAAAGAGACTATTCTAATTGAGAGAGGGCAGGTTGTCAAGGAAGGATTGGCAGAGATAATAATATTTAATCTAAACTGAATGCTCTGCCAGTTCCAGACTTAGTCTTAGGGGAATAGCACTTCAATCTAGGGCTCTTGAAGCCCAAAGTCACCATGTAAGAAGTCTGACTACCCGCCTGGAGAGAGCACATAGAAAGTCCTGACACCAGATGGAGAGGGAAAGAGCAGCTGAGCACAGCCTTCTGGCAGTCTCTGACAAAGCATACAAATAAAGAAGCCATTTTGGAAGTGTATCTTTCGGTCCCAGCCACCTTGAATGACAGCATGTGGATCAGAAAAAAAAAAAAAGGCCCAGGTGAGTTCTTCCCAATTTCCCGACTCACAAAACTGCCAACAAATTAAACTGTTGTATTAAGTCACCACATTTGGAGAGGGTTTGCTAACAGGTAAATGAAGCAGAGCTCTAATTTTATTTTCTAACCAACGGTAAGCAACGCAGAGTTGTGCTTTAGGAAAATCAACCCAGCTGCAATGTGCAGGACAGACTGTAGAAGACATCTGGTGGCAGGAAACCCAGGAAACAAGAGCCACTGAAGTCTGAACTACAGGTAACAGTAAGCACAGGGAGGAAAAAGATACAAGGTACTGACTATGAAGTTAGATTCAATGGGAATTTTGTATGTAATTGGCCATCAGGGCAAGAGTGAGCAAGGAGTCAAAGCATATCCTCCAAAAGGGGGAGAAATAAATGTTTTCAATGATCTTTTTACAGTTGAATCGTCTGTGAGCTCGTGACAACCTGCCCCTTCTATCCTAATACTGTCTACAGGTTCTACCTGATGAATTTTCATATAGCATTGAGTTGTTTTGTTTTTTTAAACCACAAATCTCATCATGGTAGAACCAAACTCCTTACCATAGTCTGTGAAACACTGCCTCACATGACCCTTGCTGACACAGCTAGCCCCACCTCAGATCTCTTCCCACTTCCACCATTCTGCAGAGACGATGGCTCAGGTCCTCAAACATGCCATGCTTCTTCCCTCCACTCCAGGCTCTTCTCTCCAGCTGGACACTCTTCCTCACAGCCTCTATTTGACCAAATTAACTGTATTCATCCTTTGGTTCGTCATCCTGAATGTCACTTCCTCAGAAAAAAACCTTTCCCAACTATCCCCAGTGTTTGTTCACACAACATCTCTCTCCTTCAAAGTACTTACCACACTAAGAATCTAGTTACTTATGAAGCTATGTTTAATATCTTATTTTCTCCACTGAAACAAGTTCCAAGAAGGTAGAAACGTGTGTGTAATTCGTTCCCATAGCCTCAGGACGTAACACACTGCCTGGCAAAATACTCCGGAAGAACCTGAATATACACGACTCACAGTATAGCAGGATAGTTAGGAGCATGAACTCTGAAACTAAACTGAGTTCAAGTCCCAGCTATGCCCCTTACAAGCTTTGTGACTAGCTAAGTTATTCTTCAGCACCTCATTTTCTTCCTCTTCAAAATATGGATAATGACAAAACCCATGTTGTCGAGGATTCAGAGTTAATATATGGAAAATGCTTAGAACAGTGTCTGGCTAAAGACAGATGTCTGCAGTTATGTCTGTGAAAGCCTTATCACGGCCTAGAATACAGGGAACACTTATTGAACAGTAGCTATCAGAATTAGCAAACAGGCTCTCTCATTTATCCTATTTCATAAACTTTCAGTCTCCCTGACTCACATCTCAACCTTATGAGACTTCTCCAAAGGGACTGCAAAGCTTCTCTTTTATTAGCTGCTGCTGGCCTTTGGGAGAAAAAGCTAAAGCCTCTCCTTCAGTTTACAGGCAGGTACAAAATCTGGCCCCAGGCTCTCCAGCTATTTCCTCAAATTCAACCACTCCCTATCCTCAGACACAATAAATAACACACAAAAACACCAACGGGTGGGAGGGTATAGCTCAGTGGCAGAGAGCATGCCTAGCACGCACAAAGTCCTGGGTTCATTCCCCAATATCTCCACAAATAAATAAATAAATAAACCTAAATACCCCCCAAATTAAAAATAAAAATAAATAAATTAACTAAAAAAAAAAAAACCCTAACAAAGCATTTCTTGCGGTCTTCCTGCAGGCGAGCGTACTCCACCGTTCACTCCAGCAGGATAAATCATCTTCTCTAGGCATCAGCAAAAAGCCTAGAAGCAGCTCCACCAAGGCAGGCACTCGGCACGACGTATCCGAGTTTTTACAGGGCCCCCGGCTCGCGGACATCGGAACTCTGCCCTGGAAAGGCCACCGGTACCCGCAGGCACTCAGTGAGCTTGGTCACAACACTGAAGCGGCCCGAAGTTTTAGACAATCGTCCCACACAGTATTCGGGCCACGTCCCACGCGGGAACCTCGCTCTCCTTCGCGGCTTGGGGCACATCTGTCGGGCTCGCGACCTCCGCGCTGCAGCGGGTTCCGACACACCGAGGGAGTCCTCACCCCGGCTGCGCAGCCTCTTCGGGAAGGCGCCCCTCCAGAGCCGAGTCGGAGTGTTGAGGGCCGCGGCCCGTCACCCCCCCTCCCCGGGCCGGAGGCGTCGGAGTTCAAAGTCACAGCCCCTGCCCCCACACGCGCTCCGGGCGGCGCTCGGCTCCACGGCCACCGCCTCCCGTGAGGTGCCGCTGAGGAAACTCGGTCTTTCGGCGCTTTTACCCTCGCGCAGCAGGCCGACCGACCGGCCCGCAAAACTTCCCGAAGTGGCGGGAGCGGCGGAGGGTCCGCCGGCTGCCCGCGCCTTTGTCGCTCTCGCCTGACCGCTAGCCCCACTATTCAGGCCGCTCAGC